TGTTCGGAAGTTAAAAGCTCCTACGTGTAGTTTAGAGCGTGGTTTCAGGAGACCAGGAATAGAGTTCCGCGTACTCGAATCGTTTACCTTAGCGGTGCGAGGTGATAAAGAGACATGAGGAGGGTTAGTCATGGAGATAAGAGAGGTATTAGGAGGTGTAGGAAGGATTTGAATGTGACCAACTTGGTCTCGTGTGCTGTTACGGGTATGAGGGCTGATATCACTTCTTGGCTGCCCACACCGTGGAAGGGTATTTCTTGAGGAATCTGAAAAGGAAATTGGATTAGGGTTGGTCTTGACGACCTGCGAGCGTGACCGCAGAGCCCAAGGGACAACTGCTTGAGGCCGGTCGCGCACGGCCTTTTTGTGGTAGGTTTTTGACGTGTTAGCTCCGTTCTTCAAAGGGTCTTACCGCCGGAGACGAAAATCCGTGAGGTAAGGTGAGGTGTGACATTTTTAGGGTCGACCTTTTCTAACTCCACCCCTTCTTGTGGGAAGGCAGCATCGCTGCAGATGCTGGTTGTCCGAGGGAAATACCTTACTGCTGTCATACTCCTCTACAGTCAGCAGTACGACTTCGCCCTCAGACCTTGAGTTGCTGCTTTTAGTTTTACCGTCCTCCAATCGACCTGCCTGGCATGGTAGAACCTACAGGAACATATATTCCAGCCAATATAGCTCGGTCGGGTCATCACGATAGGCAAGCCTGACCACCGCGTCAAGGTAGCAGCTTCGGTCGGGAAGCTATGCTGATAAATGTCAACATGCAAGAGGCCAAGCTTGAATAATGGGTTATCTTCTAATTCATGCTAATTATTCAACAGATCGAAGCAACATTTAATATTTTGTTGTAGTCCAACGCTTATATTTAACATGAGTTGTTCAAAGTTTAACTATTTATGAATGTCTAACGTCCAGTTCTGGTGGATACATTGTTTGTTTGATTTATTTCGACAAGTAGGAACAAGCACACACACAAAACTATGTTTAGATTAACATATTTAGTATATTTTCATTAAAACTTGTTAGGAATATAGAGTAAAACAAGCACAAATACACTGTCCAACTATTAATTTAATCAAATAATTATTTTCTTATAATTACGGCTATGAATAGTCTTTATTTTACTAAATTTGCTCCATTTAACGCTTCGTTATATCAAGCAGTATCAATGTATCATAATATATTCACTATTTATCGACTAGAAAATTACTTTTTCAAACACTTATTTATTTAGATGTTTAAGTAGACTTGTTGAAGAAAGCCTTTAATCCAGGACTAATATAGAAATAACTTAAATGATATATATGTACTGTTAAGCTTCCCATATATTGTCTAAACATGTTAAATCAGCTGAGACCTGCAATTTCATTGGTTTAACCCAGTGTGATGCAGTGCATTAAAAAGGAGTCTCATATAAGGAAAAAAGTATGTCAAATGCCATCTAGTTTCTGGTGCTTCTCTGGAGCTGTTAGTTCAAGGTGACTACACTATCGTGTGTTATGTTACGCACCGAATCACTAATTATGGGTGTTGTGAGAGCTTCAATCTGGAAGTCTACATCGATATAACCCAAGTCAGGAGAGTCAATGAATTTATGGATTAATGTCATATCTTGGTTCGATCGCTCTTAGCTCTTTTCATTCTTTATTCCCATCCCAGACGATGGCTATATATACAAAACACATTTCTCAACTACAGTATGTGAGATCAGTCTGTTATAACGGAACGAATATTCTAACCCATATTCCTGGAGATGAACGTCTTACTATGGATACCACGCAATGTGTTTCTCTGTCCGCCACTTTTCTTTTTCTTCTCAATATTTCAAGTTAGCGGTTGCTTCGTGATACAGCTTGATGATTTCCGCAATGTGTCCTATCCGCTTCCAACATTTTCTAACTTCCTCTTCAGTTGGAAGCTGGTTTGCTCTCTCCCATAGTAGGTTGCTGATGATGGTATCCGGTCAACGGACATTGAGTATCCTGTGTAGACAACCGTTTATAAGTACTTGTACTATTTTGATGATGGTTGTAGTAGTTCTCCAAGATTCAGCTCCGTACAGTAGAACTGTCTTGACGCTCGTATTGAAGATTCTGACTTCGATATGTCCTTCACTTGTGGAAATACTGTCCTTGCTTTGCCAATCCTCGCCTTTACGGCTGAATCCGATTCTCCATGTTTATCGACGATGCTACCCGAATAAATGAAACTTTCCACCCTTTCCAGAGTTTCTCCACCAAGTATGATTGGTTTGGTGTTCTCTGTGTTGTATTTGAGGATCTTGCTTTTCCTCGTGTGTATGTTGAGGCCGACTAATGCAGAGGCTGATGTTACACAAGTTGTCTTAACCAGTATTTGTTGATGTGTATGGGATGGAAGATTCAAGTCATCTGCAAAGTCTAAATCGTCTACTTACATCCAACCTGTACTCTGCTTCGGTTTGGGCATCCGGGTAGTATCACAGCCACTACACAAACCAAGTAACTTGTGTAGCGCATATGTATTCAGTGCCCCTTTGTACAGATATTTATGTGTTCAAATGAATAAGTAATACCAGGGGTTTTTGTGGAGGTTGTAGGCCCTGGGTTCGAATCCCGCGGGGCGGGGTCATAGACGCGCACTGCTGAGGAGTCCCACAATAGGACGAAGGAGCCGTCCAGTGCTTCCATGATTGTCTAGCTTCAATCGATTCATGATCTCAAATATTGAAATAAATAATGTGTTCATTGTATTACGTGCTCCCCATCAAATGTAGAGGTCTTCATAATGCAGTCAACCGCCAGAAGAAGGAGAAAGGCAAAGAATAAGCAACCTCGTCTGACACTCGACCTCACTTGGAATGCGTCTGTCAGTTGTTCTCCATACACCACTTTGTAGTGTAGTCCACCGTATGAATCCTGGACGATGTTGACGGTTTTCTCAGGTACACGAAGGCTCCATAATGTCCTCCTATCCGCATTGTCAAACTCCTCATAGTTAAAGAAGTTGATGTATAATGACGAATTCCATTCAATTGATTGTTCAACGGTGATCCGTAGTGTCACGATTTGACCTGTGGACGACCTATAGTTACGGAATCCAGACAGTTGATCTCGAAGTTGGGCTTCTATCAAATCATTCATCCGGTTCAACAACACTGTTGAAAACTTTTCCCGGCACCGATAGTAGTATGATGCCCCTGTAGTTCCCAGACTTGCACAAACCTTTCTTTGATATTTTGATGAGGTCTCCTTCCTTCTAGTCTGTCAGCACTTGTTCTTCCTTCCAAACCTTCTTGAATAGAACGTGAAGGATGTTTGCAGTTACTTCTATGTCTGACTTTAATTGGGATATTTTCAGGTACTGTTGCTTTCCCACTTTTCGTTTTTCTGATGGCCGTAATGTCTTTGGGTGCTGCTTTGATGTCCGGTGGATTTAATGGAAATGGCCTATTCAAGAGTTCCTCAAACTGATCCACGCATCTGCTCCTCTGTTCTTGAATCTTAGTGGTGGTCTTGCCAATTTTGTACTTGACTGGTCGTACTGGTTTACTATATTTCCCCGCTAGTTTCTTCGTTGTCATAGAGATGTTTCTTATTTCCTTCTCTTGCAGCTCTCAACACTGTCGTTGCTAACTCTCCCGAGAATTTCTGCTTGTCAGTTACAGTGCTTTTCTTCACCCGCTCGTTTACTTCGGTGTATTCGACCTGCGCCTTGACTTTCTCTGTTCTGGTTCGGCTGTTGTTAATCCCTGTCTTCTTGTTCTTCCCATCGTGAATCTTATCCAGGGTTTCAGTAGAGATCCATTACTTATGATGCTTCTTGTGACCAGCACCTACTAACACGTTGAATCCAGCGCTTCTTTAATCCCTCTCCAGTTGTTCTTGACACTAGTTTTCTCTTCTCTCAGTAGAATTGTTGTTGAGAGCTGTCTTGAATTGTTTGAGTTTGTCAGTATCTCGAAGAAAGGCTGAAATGCTATTCCTACAATGTGCAATGCTTCTCTCGCTTCAGTTTCATCTTGGACACCAACAGGTTGTGATCTGGAGCTATGTCAGTTCCTCTCTTAGTTCTCACGTCTTTCATTGACCAGCTGAATTTTTTAATGATACAGATATGGTCGATCTGGTTCTCAATGGTGTGACCCTGTGAGACGCATACAGTTTGTGTATGTGTTTATGGGGTAATAGTGCCAACAATAACCATCTTGCTGAGGACACGTAAATCTATCGTTATTCTTACTTCTTACTCCCAGTTAGTCCATGTCGTCCCATGATATCTTCATAACCGGTGTTGTCCATTCCGACTTTGGCGTCTAGGTCTCCCATCAGGATGATCAGATCTTTTTTTGGTCAATTCGCTATGATTGATTGCGGGCTCACATAGAACTGATCTTTAATGATATCGTGGCTATCATTAGTGAGTGCATAACACTGGATAACATTCATCGTGATTCCCTTCTTCTTTGCTTTGAAAGATGCTTTCATGGTACTGAGTCCATGAGATTTCCATTCTCTAAGTGCATTTCGTGTTTCTTTGGTCAGCATCGGAGCAACAAACTGAGTATATGGAGCATCTCCTTCTTAGTAACCGGTATCTAGCCCTTACAGTTTAGCTTGGGTCCACTGTGTTTCACTTATTCCAAGCGCCACCAAGTTGTATTTTCTCATTTCCGTAGCTACTTGACTAGTCCTTCCGGTCTCCTACATTGTTCGGACATTCTGTGTACCTATATTAATTGTTGCTCTGATTGTTAGAAAGAGCATAGGCCTCGTGACTTCCGGAAAATCTCAGCTTTCACCTGAATGAAGATCCTTCAGCTCCCATGTCAGAGCTTAAATAGTTTAAGTTATTTATTCTGGTTGGCCTTTCTTAGCAAGATTTTTTCTACGGGATGGGGTTGCTGACCCCATGCCCAAACCTCCTACTTCACCCGACGTTGGGACCGATATTAAACCGGGAAGAGCTACATACAGAGTTACCCTACAACTAGCTTTACAATATACAGAAGTATAATCTGAATTGTGTTTGATTTATTATGATATACAAACGGTGTATGTGATTGATTAGCGATTACAACAACAAAACTATAATCACCTTTAACAAAATAAAGACATGACAAAAAAGCGGGACAATGTTACCTGAATAATGTATTTAGGAAAAATGATATGACAGAAAATGAAATTTGAACTAAGAAAATGTTCAGTTCAAAAACACTGGTGCCGTAACATAATTATCGACATAGTCATGAACAATTTATGAATGGAAGCAGTAATCTTATAGTAATGAAACAAACAAAATGCACTATTTCGTTTGTTAGCTTCGATTTAAATGGGAAAACATATGGATAGAAATAACAACTGATAAATGAGTGATTTACAAGTGAGTTTGTCTCATTATCATCACACAAAATAATGTAGTTGATCTAATTCTTGAAAGAACAGTACATGGAGACTTGTTGGAGTGCGCACTACATTTGAGACCCATCGGCAGCAGTAGCGATATTTTCTGGCCCAAGTAGAGAATTATTTCCAGACCATGGAGTTTCTTTCCATATGAACCATAAACCAGCTGCCCATAGAGCAACATTGGTAAACCCAAATATCTAATTTATATGAATTACCAAAAACATATTAAATTATTAAAGTTACAAAGTAGATCTTCATTGGCTGGTATAATTCAGATACGAAGATTAAAATTTGTGTAAAGCAGAGACAATAAGCCTTATATAATGACTTATTTAGAAGTCCAAAAACCAAGATCCATAAATAACTCACCAATGAAAACCTAGTCGTAAGGATGAATCATCCCGTTCACCCAAATGCCCTAGTATGGCCGAGAGCGGGGTGTGTGCGCCCTACCTCTCGAAATACTCTCACACGGCCACGCGTATACAGCCTCTACCATGAAAGTCCTACTCACTGCTTTCTTGTGGCGGTAGGGTTTTTTACGAAAATGAGAGGACGAAAAGCGAATGTCCGGCGATTTAACCGGATCCTAAACCAAGTCAATGGTGCACATAGGCTCCAGTATCCTGAGGGAACAAATGAGGTATGAACCAATTTTCGGTCACCGGCTACCATGGGACTGCATCTCCTTACGATGCTCCACTGCCTTGTGGGTTAGACCTTTAGGTCAAAGGTTCGGAGTGTGGCTCCCTAAGATAACCACCTGCTTCGGTCTGGGAACCTGGGCAGTATCACAACCCACACACAAATATGATGAAATGTCGATATTTATGGGAAATACTTGTCTTGCTTCGATCAACAATCAAACGATTCATATTACTATCACCATTATTATTAGTATTATTATTATTATTATTTACTACGTCATTTACTCACTCTCTTTTATTCCCACTCGACGTTAGTTGTCTATCCGAGACCCGTATTCAAGACTCTGATGAAGTACTACAAATTCGCTTTCTATCTGTTGCTTCAAAAAGCTTGTTTTGTGTGCGCTTATCCGGGTACCCTGTGGCATCTTCGTCTGATTTGCTGGCGTTGATGTCGCACTAAGCGCTAGAGCTGAGGCAGCACTAATCGATTGGGTACCCATTAACAGTCGTTTATGTGCTGTTAGAAGGTCTGAGTGCGAAGTCGTACTGCTGACTGTAGAGGAGTATGACAGCAGTAAGGTATTTCCCTCGGACAACCAGCATCTGCAGCGATGCTGCCTTCCCACAAGAAGGGGTGGAGTTAGAAAAGGTCGACCCTAAAAATGTCACACCTCACCTTACCTCACGGATTTTCGTCTCCGGCGGTAAGACCCTTTGAAGAACGGAGCTAACACGTCAAAAACCTACCACAAAAAGGCCGTGCGCGACCGGCCTCAAGCAGTTGTCCCTTGGGCTCTGCGGTCACGCTCGCAGGTCGTCAAGACCAACCCTAATCCAATTTCCTTTTCAGATTCCTCAAGAAATACCCTTCCACGGTGTGGGCAGCCAAGAAGTGATATCAGCCCTCATACCCGTAACAGCACACGAGACCAAGTTGGTCACATTCAAATCCTTCCTACACCTCCTAATACCTCTCTTATCTCCATGACTAACCCTCCTCATGTCTCTTTATCACCTCGCACCGCTAAGGTAAACGATTCGAGTACGCGGAACTCTATTCCTGGTCTCCTGAAACCACGCTCTAAACTACACGTAGGAGCTTTTAACTTCCGAACACTGTGCCGAATAGGACAGCAGGCTTCTTTAGCTAGAACTTTAGAATCTCGCGCCATCGATGTATGCTGCGTCTCCGAAACGCGCATACAAGATCCGAGTAGTGTCATTCATCTGACCTCACCATGCCAAAATAAAGAACCGACTCGATCCACACTTCGTGTATCTGGAAGCCCTGATTCTGCTTCCCGTGGCCAAGCCGGCGTAGGTATAGCATTGAATCCTAGGGCAGAACTAGCTCTTTTAGAGTGGATCCCAGTAGACAGTCGTTTGTGCGCTGTCCGACTAAACGGAACAGTAAGGATCCGAAAAGATAGGGACACTCGTCGTTGCCTCTTCGTCGTCTCTGCCTATTCTCCCACTGACTGCAGCGCAGATGATGTAAAAGATGAGTTTCACAGTAAGTTCTTCGAACTTCTCCGAAAAGCTAGGTGCTCGGATTTAGTAATAGTGGCCGGTGACTTTAATGCTCAAGTAGGTAAACTAAGCGATAGGGAAAGAAACCTAGGTGGATCTTATGGTGCCGTGGCTCAAAGAATAGATAATGGCGACCGTCTGTTGCAGCTATGCTCAGATAACCGCCTGTTTCTTGCAAATACTAACTTTAAGTATAAGGAAAAACATCTTTTAACATTTTGACCTCCTGATTCGTCCCAACGTTGGACCCAACTAGATCACATCGCTATCATCCACCGATGGAGAGGCTCGATAGAAGACTGTCGCTCATTCCGGAGCACATGCTTAGATTCAGATCATGCTCTAGTACGAGCGCGTATTTACCTGCGTCTTACTGGACGTAGGAAAGAAGCTGCAAGGAAATCTCTTAGGGCCATACTTAATGATAGTCAAGCTAAGAGTATATTTCAGGAACAACTAGAAAAACAGTTAGGCAGCCATGTATGTGATGCCCACCCCGAGGCAGCATGGAATGATATCCGAAAAGCTGTGGAAACAGCAGTGATATCTTCTAGTAAGGTAAACCAGAATGTTAGAGAACAACACTGGATCTCAGCAGCATCTATCGCACTGATAGATGCTCGGAAACTCATTCCACCCGGCTCTGAACATAGTGAAGAGCGGAGTCAGCTTAAGCTCAAGCTGACAAGAAGCCTACGCAATGATCGCGAACAGTGGTGGGTAGCGAAAGCAAGACAGATGGAAAAGGCAGCGGCAATAGGTAATAGCAGACACTTGTTCAGACTCGTTAAGGAAACCGGAATTAGGAACCCAACCGTTAGCGAAACAATCTCAGAGAAAGATGGACATATTATTCATTCTCAATCCAGGAGATTAGATCGATGGGCAGAATACTTCAGGGATCAGTTCAACTGGCCTTCAGCCACAATTCGGTTTTCCACGATCTTCAGTCAACCTGAATGGCAAGTTAATGTAGGTTCTCCGTCTCTTTACGAAGTTTAAAAAGCTATAGGAAATCTGAAACGGGGGAGAGCAGCAGGCCCTGACAGGTTTACTCCTGAGATTTTTAAGGATAATGTTTCAGTATTAGCAGTGAGATTAACCGAGGTCTTAGGTAGAATTTGGGAACTGGACGTAATTCCATCTGACTGGTCTCAATCACTGATTGTGCCAGTCTATAAGAAAGGACAAAAGTCCTATTGTGACAATCATAGAGGAATCAGTTTGACTAATATAGTGTCTAAAATATTAGCCTCAATAATACTTCGACGCCTAATCAAAGCTCGTGAAGAGCGGATTAGAGAAAACCAGACCGGTTTTCGACCTGGACGTGGTTGTATAGACCAAATATTCACACTACGTCAGGTACTAGAACACAGACACACGTTCAGACGCCCCACATTGGTAGTATTTCTCGACCTTAAGGCGGCATTCAACTCTGTTGATCGTGAGGTTCTATGGCAGTGTTTGTCACTGAAAGGAGTACCAAAGAAGTACATTAACCTTTTAAAGGCTCTCTACTCGAACACAACTGGTCGAGTGAGAGCTTATGGCGAACTGTCATCAGAATTGATTACCTCAAGTGGTGTTCGTCAGGGCTGTCCACTCTCTCCATTCTTGTTCAACTTTGTGGTCGACGTACTTTTAGAGATAACACTCTCCTCATCTAAATTTCCAGGGGTTGAACTTCTACTAGGAGATTCACTTGTTGACTTGGAATATGCCGATGACATAGTTCTATTTGGTGAAGACGCTGACAAAATGCAGAGTCTTCTGACCACTCTAAGCGACAATGCAAGCATTTTCGGGATGCGAATCTCCCCGTCAAAATGCAAAATGTTGCTTCAGGCTTAGGTTACATTGACACCCGAACTAATGATAGGGAGTGAAGTAATTGAGCCTGTCGACCGCTTCGCTTATCTTGGAAGTCTCATCAGCCCTTGTGGTCTGGTGTGTGACGAAATCTCAGCACGGATACAGAAGGCTCGACAAGCTTTTGCCAACATGCATCATTTATGGTGTAGGCGAGTTATCCGTCTATCAACCAAAGGACGTGTTTACTGTGCAGCAGTTCGTTCCGTTCTACTTTATGGCAGTGAAACATGGCCGGTAAGAGTGGAGGATATTCGTAGGTTACTAGTATTTGATCATAGGTGTCTTCGAAATATTGCTCGTATATCCTGGGACCATCAAGTAAGTGATGCGGTTGTTAGGAAACGGGTACTAGGTAAGGATAGCAAATCAATTGATGAAGTAGTGAAACTTCATCAGTTGAGATGGCTGGAACATGTGATACGTATGCCCAACGACCGACTGCCTCGACGTGCTATGTTCAGTGGTATAGGAGTAGGTTGGAAGAAAGCTAGGGGCGGCCAGACCAAAACATGGCACAAGTCCATGAAGTCACTGACAAGTGGGCTGAGTCATGTCGGTAGGTGTAGACTACCTGGTTGGGGACCGCGAGATGATAGCAACCGATGGTTAGAGACCTTGAATGACATGGCTCAAAATCGTTTGCAATGGCGCAGGTGCATCCACTCTTTGTGTTCTCCCAAATTTTGATCTCCTGATCCCCCCTTGTCACTTTTTTTCTCTTCCCAAGTCTATTTCACTGTATTATACTCTTTAAGTAACATCTCCAAACACTAATCTTTCCGATTACTGCTTATACTCTTATTACCTCTACCACTACGGGATTTGAATCGACCGCGGCATATCTGTGCTAATGTGGTGTGGCAACTCGAACTGATGTACGTACGTACGAAGTTTTACTTTGTTACTGACTGTTACTGACGTGCATTATTTGCCGTCTCTGGGACTGGTTGGAAGAAGCGGAGAGGTGGTCAGTGCATGACATGGTGTTGTGGCATGAAAGCTGCAAAGGACTCAGTCAGCTACAACGTAGGACCAGGCACATATATGCATCGGTCCAAGTTGCCATACCACAATAACACAACAAGATGAACACCGGATTCATAAAAGTAGTTAATTCAGAAGTGGTAATATATAAAAGAAAGTTTGTAATAAGGATATAGTACAGGAAGAAAGAATTAGTTCGTAGAAAGAAAGATATGAAATGATTTTAATCTCTTAGTTTAAGGGAGGACAGAGACTGTATACACCGACGCCATTGTGATCGATTCTGATCCATGTCACCAAGAGTCTCCAACCATTAGTTACGATAGTCACGCGGACCCCAACCGAGTAGTCTGCATCTACCAACATGGCTCAGACTAGAAGTTAGTGACTTCAAGCACTGATGCCACGTTTTGGTTTGGCCACCCATAACTTTCTTCCAACCATCCCCTACACCGGTTAGCATTGCACGTCGTGGTAATCGGTGTTCAGGCATACGTAACACGTGGCCCAACCATCTCAGTCGATGATGATTCACGACCTCATCAACTGACTTACCATCATTCCCTAATACCTTGCGTCTAACCTCACTATTATTACCCGGTTATCCCAGCAGACGCCAGCAATATTTCTTAGGCATCTGTGGTCAAATACTAGTAACTTACGAGTGTCTTCTACTCTTAATGGCCATGTTTCGCTGCCGTAAGTTAAAACAGAATGGACTGCCGCGCAGTATACTCGTCCTTTTATTGATAGACGGATGTCTCGTCTTCGCCATAGGTGACGTAAGTTGGCATAAGCCAAACGAGCTTTTCGAATCCGTGCTGGGATTTCGTCAGACACCAACCCATTATGGCTGATCAGACTTCCAAGATAAATGAAGTTGTCGACGCGTTCGACTACTTTACTGCAAAGGACTGGATTGTGTTGGTCCTTCACGACTCCCTGGTTGGGGTCCGAGAGATGGTGCGACATAGTGGCTAGAGACGTTATCAGATATGGCCTAGAATAGAAGCCAGTGGCGATCCTGCTGTAACCTTCTTTTACTTCGTAAAAAGTGATTGTTTCTTCCTTAACTGAAAGATTTCTTCTGATTGTACCTTTCCGTTCACCCATTATTACTATTATTATTACTACACTACCTTACACTAATCTCTTTTTTTAACGCTCCTTGCCTTCTTTTTTTCTCCTCAAATTCTCATTGTTTTGTGTGGCGCATATATTAGCGCTCTTTTGTACCAATATTTGTATTCAAATAAATAAATAAATAACATGAGTGTTAAGGATTAATCTATCATATATCACTTTGAAACAATTTTGGTTCCGGATTTGAAATCATTAAGATGGCCTCAAGCGATATTTTCGCATTTGAGTATTCCTTATTTCACATCTGAAAACCGTACTTACGCGGCATATTATGGGTACTACCATCTCAGTCAATTATACGCAGCGCATAACCTGGAACATTTGTGCGACGGTTCTAATTGTTGTACTCTATTAGCACAGAGAGATGAAATAGTCAAGGTAAATCTAAGAATAGTGAGGGTGATAATAGTTTAAAGAACTAAGAGATTCGAAGAAAAGGGAATGACTTTGCGGGCAACGTATGATACAGTTTTAAAACATAAAATCTGAGGGAAGAGAAGGTTAGTGCAACTGTATTACTATAACCAATTTTGAGCCACATCACTTGTCTTTATCTACTGGTTATGATAATTGTACGGACCTCAACCAGGGAGTTCGCACTTATTTACATGGCCCAGTCCAATAGTCAGTGTCTTCATGAACTGCTGCCATCTCTTGATTTGGCCGCCCATAGCTTTCTTCTAACCTACTTCCATATCAGCCATCATTGACTGTCGGGATAGCCGGTGAATGGATGCACGTAATATGCATATTGTTTATTCTTATTAATAGCGGATAGACTTCACTAGTAATTAATTGATATCAGTAAAGAGTTGTAGAGATTGTTGAGTTTTAATTTATGCCTACGTTACTTTCAGCATTCAAACAAATACTAACTACATCGCTGTCTTCCCTGCTTTATTGGCCACGGCCATTGAATGAAGAAAATAATAGTATTGTACTGCCCTTTTGGACCACTTCACTAGATGGGACTGTTGGTCTAGATTACTTCCTGATCACGCTGTTGGATTTATATTTCTCTTCACTCTGTCGGGACGAACTGTGTAGAATGATACTCAATAATTAAGTGAACGCCATTTGTGAGTTGCCCAAAAAGGGACTTTTAAGTAACGTTCATTACATAATGGTTATTATTTTTCATTCAACGCACAACAAAACTTTGCTATTTTTACCGTATTCTTATTTGTATATTATTATTACGTCTTTTTCGTATTGATATTTGTTTTGCACATTATTGAACTACTACAACTATCATCAAAACAGTACAAGTATTTATAAACAGTTGTCTACACAAGATACTCAATGTCCAGCGAGTACAGGTGGACAGCTGTTTATCAGATACCTGTCTAGTTCAAGGGCCTAACGAAGAATACCGGTCTACTCAAATTTTATCAGAAAAAATTGGAGTGTAGAAGGAACAGGACCTCACGACTTTGAAAGTAGCTTTTTAATGTTGTTCTCTATAACCGGAAAATAGGCAATATCCAAAAAGGCTTTTTTAATATTTTGTGCTATTCAGATGAAAATTTCCAGACGTGAAAAACCAGTTTGGATGGATGGAACATGTATTACTCAATCTGAACAACTGCACACTTTGATATATATTTTGTTGAGTAACAATCGTTTGAACTACCAATTAACATTTTATGGTACAAGGGTTTGAATCATTTAGTTTAGTAGTAGGAAAGATTTATAATTCAGAACAATAACAACAAATGAATAATGTTCTCTGGACCTTAAGATTTAGTCATCAACATGCTAATCTAGAGTTAAGTGTCTTCCATAATCCTAAATTTTCAAAGAAAGTTTGCTACGACATTGAAAAGTGCTAAAGAGAATGATGGAATCAACCTATGCAACTATTAAGAAACTCACTTTCGGTAAACAGTTTGTTTTCACGTGACTTTATGGAAGGTACTTTAAAGTTGAGCTAAATTACGAAGTCTACGTGGAATACATCAGAAAACCTTCAAGCATATACCTAGACAAGATCAAAACATCTTTTAAGATGGTTTTTACCGCCAAATATAAAGTCACCAAAGAACCATCTTTTTAGCATACAACCTGGTAATAAGAACTGTGATTAAGCCGGTCAGCTTTTTAAATACTTTCTTGGTCATATCTGAACAGAGGATTCCTTACTCATCTTTTGCAGCGAATTCCACTAAATGTTCAACGGAATCCACACCCATAACAAGATAACTAGTAAGCAAAGTGAAATGACTAAACCATGAGTACTAATATTGATACCAAACTGATAAACAAGAATATTTTTTTCACTGTTGTATTAACGTTTAAATATATAACCAACAAAAAGTGAATAATCATTACCAGAGAAACGTTAAGTCCCCCATAGGTAGCTTGTTCCTCAGCTTCGCAATGAACATTAGGTCCCACTTCATTGCAGATCCGACTTGCTGACGTGTACGTTTTAAACTGGTTCACATTATCGGCCCATGCACAAGAGGCGATAAACCATAACAGAACAATGACAATCGAGAAGATGAATTCCTATTGTATATGTAGAGTGGTGTATAGAACTTACGTATTTACTAAACCGTGAGTCAGTGAAATAGCGATCATGAAAATAGACATAATAGATGCCCATAGCAACGCAGAAAATCATAGTCAGGACACCAACAAACACATAAAACTGTGCTGCTGGAGCGAAATTCCCATACATATGTTTACTCTCCATAGCAATGCATCGAGGCAGCACGATGGAGTCAATACTAAAAAGAAGTGAAAAATATGAGGGATTACTTGAAAGGGTATGTAAATTTGACACTCCAATTCTCATATGATCCGTTACCCGAACATTTATACTTTAGCTGGACATTGGTCGAGAAGTCACACGTCGTTGCAAACGCAAAGATTGCTATAAGCTAATACGATATAATGAAAAACATGAATAACATACAACTTCAATGATTTTTATAAAACCCTTGGGCTCTTTAAAAACTTCCCATCCTGAAGACTAGTATCATGATTAGGAGTCGCTGAAATTGCGTGGATTTACCGATGGTTCTATCATCCCTCCAACCTTTGTTACTTCTCAAGATGAAAGTATGGGCAGAGGGTAACACTGAAAGTAGACAAAATCGTGCAACGCAGAAAAACTGAAAAGTGCGCTGCAATCCAATGCCCAATACCTAAGTAGTCCTAACTAATACAACAAAATAAGTATTCTGGTCTAGATTTACGTTTTCAGTAATTATTTTTCTGAATATCAGATTTCTTAAAATATCATTTAACGATACAAATATACCTAGAGACATCGAATCGTTAGTTTATCATCAATAAGTAAACTCAATTAACTTGAATCATGGGCCTTCCAACCAAGCAAAGTTGATGAAACCGTTAGGCCCTTATGGAGAAGAAGCATACGTAGAAGCACGGTGCAGCTACTGAGGTCTAATAATTGCTTTTGTAATTCTTGTACATTTTTGTGTTCGTAGCTGTTTGTCCTGTAATGATTGATTATTCCTTCAGTGGTTGGCAGATTTTTATTACGCCCAGAGTACGGGTACTCTTTCAAACCGCTGATTTTGTTGTTGCGTTTTCGATTCTTCTTAATGTTAGTGTTTCTTGAGTTTGAATTTTTGGTTTCACCGCTGCATGTGAAGATGCTGTAGGGCCAGTGAAATGTCACTGAGCCCTAGCCAAATCATCCGGCAGATGGATTACTGAATGTCGAACAGATCATTGCTCCCTGTCAAGGTCAGGGACAACCAATGCGCATCCGTTAATCATATGCCATGGACTAGCCCATGCGGCAGTGGTCTTACTTTCGCTTGTATCTACCTTAACTAATATATTTCTGTAATAACGTCCTCTGTGTTGTACAGTCTTCAAAGCATCCATGGTACTTTGATACGTCAATGGGGTAGTCCACGTAAAGTGCTGACCACGAGGTGTGACTTCGACGTTAGCTGGTTTGTCACACCATTCCCGTCTAACTCGAGTAGGTCTCCAATCATTTTCGACATAGATCATCTACGTTGGTGAACTAAACTGTTGAGCACGACTTCGAGTAACGCAACCTATCACTATAATCTTTATTATTGCATTCTATACTTTTTCATTTTTATCATCGCCTATGTTAATCTATCAGTGAACTTTCGTTTCTTCATGTCAATGTTGATTAGCATTTAAACCTAAATAATTAGTTCAATCGATTGAAGGACAAGTTGATCTCGTTCGAATGCGTAACCGAGCGCCTTTAGGTAGGTGAGTCCATTTAAACTAATGTGGTCAGCATCAAATTTCAAAGACCTATAGAGCCATTTATTTCGGAGATCACCCCCCTGTTGGGTTAGTGATGATCCTTAGAAGTGGCCAGCCAGAAGTTTAAACACAATGAGCTTGTCGGTGATAAACACTCTTCCGATAGCTTGCTATGTTCAGCAGCATCTGGCCGTCTCTCCTAATCATAAAAGGCCATGTGGTACAATATATTGATGAAAAACAGGTACAATGAAAATTTCGATTCATTGTAAACTTCGTCGATGTTTTCATCTTTTCCAACTGTACTGAATAAGAAAAAGGATAAGTAATTGCATGTCGAATTAAACTCGCATCTGTGTAGAGAGACAAAATAGGCGAAAAAAGAAAATAAACTCATATTCATGCGTTTTGTAAACATGCAATAGCGTAAAAACGATTTTCGTGGAATGATTATTTTTGAAAAATAACAAACATACACATATAAGCAAGCATATGAAAACGATTTTGGAACATATATATATGAACATATTAAAAATAGTTTGTTTTTTACAAAAGACAAGGAAAAATAGAGATGAAACAAAGTGTTATGTAGTGTCTTACCTGCAGTAATCGTCTAGGTGTTCAGGAAACCTCACTCTTCTTCCAGAACGCGTTGCTTTGAGTTTGTTGTCGGACACTATAAAAGTATCATTGTGAGTGTTGGTTATTTGGTGATTTATCGTAATTGTGTGACTCGCATTCTTCTACTGTACCTGAAGGAAATTGACATAGCCAGAGTTTCCTTCCAAATACGCGGCTTTGATGTGATCGATGCTGATGCTATCGTTAGTTCCGTTCTTATTGGTTTTATATTACCTGGGTTCACGCAGAAGAAATTTGGGGGGTCCTTCGTGTGCTGTTCCGAGAGGTCGTCGATATGGGTCGCGACGCACAAAAGCGCGTGTACTATATCTTAAAGCAAAGTGGACAAAACCATCAGTTGACTGTGATCGACTGGGATCAAATTTAACCGAACGCATTGCGTTTGTAAGCCTGCTTTTGTATGGGTTTAGATCCATATTCGTTGAAGAAGATGAAAGATCCGTGAATTCTTCTGGAATTCAAGGTGTCGTTCAATAAACAATTTGAGCTGCAGTGTAACCAATATCAGATTTTGCTGCATCGCGAATACCACATAAGCTGAGTGGAAGAGCGCCAATCCACTATGGAACGTTTGTTGCTGATAATGAAGCTTTTAGTTTTCTGTGAAAGCGTTCTACCAACCCGCTACTCGTGGGTGGTAGGTGGTCGTTCTTAGCCGTATGAGTCCTAATAGTGGAGCCAGACATCGGAAAAGTCCCTATTCCAACCGGCGTCCACGGTCTGTAGTCTTAGTTGAAAGGCAGTCGAAGTTTGCCACCCATCGTTCGATGAAGGCGCGGGCCGCCGTTTCAAATGTAATGTCCCTGATAGGTACTGCTTCTGGTCATCGAGTGAAACGATCTACGCAATTTACGAGATAGGAACAATCATTTGAATCCAGTAAATGTCCTACCAAATCTAGATGAAGATGTTCGAAATGAGCATCGGGAGTTTTGAATGAGTCTAAGGGACAGCTTTTGTGTCTATTCACCTTAGATTTTTGGCGGCTTACACAGGAGCGAGCCTACTCCCTCACGTCTTCATTCATACCAGGCCAACAAGATCGTTCTGCTATGAGCTTTATAGCTGAACGAACACCTGGATAAGAAAGTTTATGTAATGTATTGTAGACCTTGTGCCGATAATGTTTTTGCACGATTGGACTATCCCTACCTGTAGATGTGTCACTCAGTGAAGTTTCCTTACCAAAATCATCCACCTGAGCTACAAATCTTCTCCACCATTTCCTTACCTGTCCCCATCTGTTTGACACGCAGTTTCAGGGTTGTAGAAGACAACTCGTGGTGGATATCAGTGTCTTTACTTTGAAGCTAGGCGAGTTTAAAAGAGTCAGTTTCTTGTAAACTGTTCAAGAAAGTTATACGAGACAAGGCGTCTGCAACTACATTGTTTGCTCCAGAAATGTGTTGTATATCTGAAGTAAACTGCAGAGTGTAGTCCAGTTGTCGAGATTCTCGAGATAAGGATTTGTCTGAAGACGAGCTTAGAGAGACAGGAGTTTTGTGATCGGTAACGAAGTGAATTCTTGGTGTCGAAAGTACCACAAAACACAATACATGACTAAGGGCTCCTTGCCAAATGTGTTATACCTCAATTCAGTATCTTACAACTGTTTCCAGAAGATTGATAAAGATTGTCAAATGTGTTTAAACCATTGCTGTTATACTCCTCAAATTGCATAATCGGATACATCTACTGAGATACTAATGGATGCCCCAGTGTTCTGATGTGTGAGCAGTGTTTCTTTGGCGATAATTTTCTTAATTTTTGGGAATGTTTTTTCGCGATGTCGACTCAATCAATGGATTTCACATTTCCACGAAGTCGGTCGGTTAAAGGTCTTATACGAGACGCGCGATTCGGTATGAACCGTCTAGAGAAAATTACTGGGCCGTTAAACGTGCGCAGTTGCTTGATTGTGGTAGGTTCTGGGTAATTCCGAATGGCCGCCACTTTGCTTTTGAAAGGGGGATGCCTTAAGCTCCAATAATGTGTCTAAAAACCTTTGGAGTCGCTTTCGATTTGACATTTCTGGATGTTTGCAGTAAGACCGAGCCTTTGTAGTCGTTCGAAGAGAAGGTCCAGGTGCCGGAGATGGGATTCTCTATCCGGACTTGAAATAGAGCAGTCAGCAAAATATGTATGTACTAAATTGAGACCTCGAAGGACGTTATTGACGAACCTTCGGAAATTTTGTGCGGCATTCCTTAAGCCGAAAGTCATGCGCAAAAACTCGTAGAAACCGAAATGGGTAATAATAGCAGTTTTCGTAATGTCTACAGCAGCCATGAGAATTTGGTCGAATGCTTTAACTAAGTCGATTTTCGAAAAAAATTGTTTTACCTTTCAAGGTAGTTGTCAATTCGTGAATGTGTGACAACACGAAACCGTCAGGAATGGTTTACGCATTCCATCGCTTATAGTCACCATTTGTACGTCAGTCGTTATTAAGATAAACGCTATCTCTGTCATTTATTCATCTGCTTTAGTGGCCACTGTCAGTGATTGAAGATTATAATGGTTGTAACAGAAAAAATACACTGAAGACCTTTTCACAGAATCTTATCGCTCAGTGTTGTCATTTATTTATTTCTTCTCGCTGGCTTGTATTTTTAACCTTCACTCAGACCTCTATTGACCGCATTTTATGTTCCTCAGTCTTCCTTGTCTAAGCTTTTATTATGTGGGCTTGGTTAATTACTCACTATTTGTGACTCTACTGTTGCATGTCACCAGACTGCTGACAAGAATGTTGTGTTTGACCCGACTCAAGGTCACGGTGTGGTTCAATGTATGATGATAGAACTTGACTGTCCGCGGTCAGGAAATCAAGAGCTGTGTTTGAAACAAGTGTACGAGTATCGTGGGCATTAAGTACGGTGAAAAATGCAAGAGGGAGAAATGGCAAGAAGATCGTAGTAGATATGTAGTGTGCAAGTACAAGTTTAGATTCGAAGTAGAACAAAAATGTGCACAACGGATAAATTTTAACCTGATGATAACATGTAAAGATATTCCTTGGGTAATAAGACTATCTAGAACTGTCGATATTCAGTACCAAACGATCAAAATAAGTATTGTGGGTGGTAAATATGTAAACTGAAGATCTGCATCAGATAAAATTGAACGTTACAGAGATACGCAGTTTTAAAGAGAACTGGTACCATATAGAAATTTATGAAACTGTATTTTTAGGTAAAAGTACTGACCGAAAACTATGATAGACTCACCGAATTGAACTGATAATTCTAGAAAGTGAGTTATAGCATCCAAATACAATTTAAAGGATAGTGTATAT